GTGGCCGTAGGGTGCCACTGTCCTCATGCTCCTGTTTCAGCCGCAGCCGGGCTGCCTCATCCTTGGCAAAGGTGCCCAGGTCCTGTGTGTAGCGGCCATACATCTGGGGGAAAAAGAGTGGGAAGGGGAATCAGGGGGTTGGCACAGGCTTCTGGGCTGCAGGTGGGGAACCTGAGGCAGGGAAGCAGTGGACACAGTGCCAGCGCCGGGATGGGGATCAATAGCAATTGTTTCATCCACGCAGCCAGCACAGTGCCTGGCCCCACTGGTACCAGTCCCCGGCCCTGCCCAGGTGCTCCAGCCATAGATTGGGCTACAGTGGGTCGGTGAAGGCATCCGGTGTCAGGAACACAGCCAGGCTGGCAGGGAGCTTCTCTGAGGCCCAATATTGGGAGTTGTGTCTCATTTTGGTGCTGTTACATGGGTTGGGATCCCCCCAAGGTGGGCACATATGTTCCAAGCTGAGCCCGTGAGAGCAGAATAGGGCAGGGTGCACTCTTAGCCCGACAAAAAATTGGGCAGCGACACTTAGGGCGTGAGGCACACAGGGACACTGTGGCCACTCGGGTGGCATATGGCACGTGTCCTGGCCCCTGGCACTGCCCCCTGTGCTCATTGTGCCCTTCCTCCCTGCCGAGCTGGGGGCACTGGTCCCGCACTGGGGGCACTGCCAAGGGCTTGGTTGCTTGGTTTCCGCCTTGCTCCCCCCGCCATGACCTGAATGCCAAGCGCTAGAGGTTGGCTGGGCACAAAGGGAGGCTTTAGGGCCACGGGGGCCCTTGCCAAGCTCCCACGTTGGGGCGACGTGAGCCTCATGCCGATGCATGCCCGCCTGCTGTGCCGCACGTGGCTGCCCCACAGCCCCTGTCCCGGCACAGTGCCCAGCGGAGGGGCTGTGGCACGGGTGGGCATTGTGCTTGGCACGTGCTGGCTCAAGCAGGGATGGCATAAAGGTGAATTTCTCGTGGGTCATTGCCCAGATCCCTCCGGCCAGGAGCAGAATGCAGCCTGTGTGGCGCCAGGTGGATTCTCTGCTGTCTGATACCTGGGTTAGGTTCGGCCCTGGGAGGGGAGAGGGAGGGCACAGCCGTGTCCATCACCAACCCCAAAACTTGTGCACGGCTCTATGGAAATGTGCTGGGGGCTGCAGCTCAGCCTCCTCAGGGGCTGCATTCAGCATCGCATGCCAGAGGAGGACCCCAGCCCTGCACGGCACTCGGCGTTCAAAGGCTCCCTTCGGGCGAAGCTTGTTTCCTCTGGAAGAACAAACGGCTCTGCACCCCAGGAGTTCTGTTGTTCTGCCAAGTGCCTGCCTCCCCCCAGCCCTATAGCTCCCCTTGTTCAGGATGGGGGCACCCCAGGCTGAGAGTCCCCCGTATCCCCTGCTGGAGGGCTGGCACGTTGCCCCATGGGTTCCCAGCAGAATGCCCCTATAGCTGGAGCTGGAAGGGATCCAACCTGGCAGGAGGGGGGGGTGGTTATAACCCCATTAGCCCCCAAACGCACCAACCGTGCTTAAAAAGAGGAAAGGGGCTGTGCCACACCGTGCTGCAAACCCCATAGCAGAGCCCAGCTGTCAGTGAGGGCCAGCAGTCCATTCTGCCTTCCTCTTCCTCCTCCTCCTGCTACTCCTCCTCCTCCTCCTGCTCGGGTTATTTTTCCACAAAGGCCTTTTGAAACACAAACAGCCCCGGGACTCCGGCCTCCGCCGCGAAGCAGCTGAACAATCACAGTGCCGGGCAGGCAGGGAGCGGGCACGGGGCGGGGGGGCTGGCGGGGGGCAAGCAGGGACGTGGGCACAGGATGAGGTCTGTATTTTGGGACTGCGTATTTGGGATCTGCTGTGCTGTGCCCCTGGGCTGTGCCAGGCAGTGGTGCCTGCTGTGCCTGGGTGATGCAGTGTGCGGTACGGCTGCTGGCATCGGTACTGCCGTGTCCCCAAGCCACCCTATCCCACGGTAGATGGGGCACTGAGCACCCTAGCAGCAGTGCCCACAGCCTTGGCTCATGGTGCCAGTTGACATCCCCCCAGAAAGTGCTCATGGGGAGTTTTAAAGGTGGGGAACATGGGGAGCAAGGACCCCAGCTCTTAGGCAGATGGAGAGGCCGGGGGGGGGTCTGTGTCACGCTGTCCGTCTTAGCTGGGATCTAATCGGCTCCACAGTGAACAAGGGCAGTTTGTCAAGCTTAATCTTCCTCACTGGAGGCCCTTTGGCACATGGGGGGCACAGGGGGTAGCAGGGACCCCAGGCACCCTTAGCACCAGGTGGTTCCCACGGGCACCTGTCCCATGCAGACTGCAGCCGGAGCCCAAGCCTGGCAGGAGCTGGTGGCACTGGGGAGGGCACCCGCCCTCCTGCTTGGCACGGGGGTGGCTTTTGGAAGCCAAGCACGAGGCTGCGGGATGGGTGCCCATACCCAGCCTCGCCCACGTGGGCGGCAGGAGCCCCGAGGCCATGGGGATGGGCACCCCGAGGTGTGGGTACCTCCCTGACCGCAGGTGGGAGGGCAAAGTCTGCTGGCACCACAGGGCTGCCCTGATGCCAGCCTTGTGCCTCTGCCCTCCTGCGGTAAGCGTGCTCGGGAAGAAGATGCAGAGGGCACCCGGCACACAGGGCCTTGGTGCCATGTGCTGGCTGGGCATGCCCTGCTCAAGGCTATGCAAACCCTACAGCTGTGGGTGCCCAGCAGTGCTCAGCCCCTTCCCTGCCCTGCCTGATGGCCTTTGCCAGGGCAAAGTACCCGTTTACTGAGCCGCGCCGGGCACCGGCCCAAACAGACCATGAGAAGTACCTTTGCCCACAGTGTCAGAGGGCTGTGGGCAACGGAGGGACTGTGGGCACAGCGGGCAAGGAGGACACCCTGAGATGCCAGCAGGGAGGCCCGGAAGGTGACAGTTGTAAACATGGGGCTAAGGTTGCAGGCGGGGGAGATATGCTATCTTGGGGACAGAAAGCTGGGGCCGGGCATAGCATGGAGGGTAAAGGGTGCCTGGGTGGTGTGGGGTACTTATGGGGGTCACAGTGCTCTGAGCTGAGGGCACGCTGCTGGGGAAAGGTGTGCTCGAGGGTCCCACCACGAGGCTGGGGGCTCCGATGGGTTTCCCTATTGCTGTGGGGCTGCGGGGCGGCACCGAGCGTCCCCCAGCGGCCCCCAGATGGAGACAGCCCTCAAGGCTCGGAGGACATGGTGGGATGAAGCAGGCGTCATGGGCGCTGCTCCTTTACAGAGCTCCTGGAGAGGGAGTATCACCCAAAACCGCCCCACTCCCCGCGACGTGCTGCAGTGCCCGGTGCCCCCCGCCGCGTCCGGTGCTCCCGGTGCCCGGTCCCGACCGAACTCACCAGGGTCTGCTCGTACTGCAGCGCCCGCTGCTCCGCGCTCTCGGCGGAGGCCATGGCGCTCCCGGTGCTCCCGGTGCTCCTGGCCGTGCCGGTGCCGGTGCCCGCGGCAGCAGCAACTCCTCCCGGGGCCGTGCGGGGCGGACCCGGGGCATTGCCCGGGGGAGGGCCCGGCCGCGCTCCGCCTCCGCCGCTCCGACGGCGGCACCCGGCACCGGCACCGGGCAGCCCGGCACGGACCGAGGGGACGCGGGGTGGGGGTCGCTCAGAGCCCTCTGGCCGCGGTGGCCCTGGGGACACGTGTTTCCGTCCACGGGCACCTGGTGGGGTCTGGCAGCAGCTTTATTGCAGGGGTTGGGGTTTGAGCAGAAAGCACCGTGCCCACGCCCAGCCTCAGGGTCAGGGTTGGGGAGAGGAGAGCCCAATGTCTTGGCACCGCCAGCAAGGAAACAGGAACCGGGGATGCGCACAGGTTGTGGACACCCCAGCACCGCGAGGACCCATCGGAGGTACCTGAAGAACGTTCTTACCGTGGCACTGCCAGCATCAGAATGGGTGCCCAGAACACGCTCTTCACTGCTGGGTAGCAGAGGCTCAGTCCTCTCTGCCGGGACGCAGGAGCACAGCTTGGCACCGGTACTCCTGGGGCGAAGCGCTGCAGTGTGGCACAGTGGCTGCTCTCCCTCCGGAGCTGCTGGCATCTCCATCTCACCACCTCAAAGGGCTCTGGGGCTACTGGGGCAGTTGGAAGGACTGAGCTTGCCCTGGTGGCACAGCATGACACGCTCAGCCACGATGGAACTGTGGCACTGCCGGGCTGATGATGTGGGACCAGGAATGGGCTGGTTTGTGCTGCCCAGGTGCCACCCTCCGCGTTGACGTTGGCACCCCCAAGGGTGGATGACAATGGCCAGGGACGGGGTTGAGGTTTGCCCTGCACCACCCTGGGAGGGTTCATCGCCGGCCGTGAACCAGTTTGCGGCGGGCAGGCGATATGTGAACTCCCCATTTATTGTTTCCCTGGGCACTGAGTCCCCTCCTCATGCGTCAGCTCCTGGCACTGCCCCACGCATCCGGAAGGAGCCCTATGCCAGGACACGAGTGCTGCTGCCAGTGGGCCACTGGCTGCAAGGTCACCACTGGCGCTGCCCCCCTGCTGGCCACGGCACCATATGGGCACATGCGCAGGGGCTGGGACACTTCAGCTGGCACCAAGGACTTCATGCCCACCCTAAATGCCACCATGCCATCCTCCTAATGCTCCGGTGCCAGTCCCTGGTGTCAAGACAAGTACCGGTGCAACCCAGTGTCCCAGTATATACTAATGCCGCCCAGCATCATTGTGCCAGCGCATCCAGTGCCATCCCAGCAGAGCCCATGTTACTTTTCCTGACTTAGATCCCAACCCTGGCACCTTTGCCATAACAGGGGTGCTGGGCTCAGAGCACTGTATCCGCTCTAGCATTACATCTTTGACCATGGGCACTGATTAGGGTCACCCCAGCCCTGCTCCAACCCCTCTTGTGCCATCCTGCAGCCCTCCATTCCGTGTAGAATCCCTATGCCTTCAAGACCCTATGTACCCAGCCACATGACCTGCATGTCCCCAGAACCAGCAGCACCAGCACCCATGAATGTGTGATACAGAGGAGAGCAGTGGGCAATATCTCTGTCTTTAATAAATACATTCGGGACCCCCGTCCCTATAAATTACACACCAAGTCCAGACGAACTGGGGTGGGCACAGCGAAACGGGGGTGAGAGGGATTTTACACTATGTACAAAGCGGGCACGATGCCTGCTGTGCCCACCAGCCGGGAGCTCATGAGTGCGAGTGCAGAGTGTCCTGGCTCCCCCAGCCCTGCTGCTGGCTACTAGGGTGGCTCAGCACTGCAGCCGTGCCCAGAGGGGGTGCCTTCCCCATCCCTGCTCCTCTGTGCCCCGTGCCCAGCCGTGGGGGGGTGGCGATGGGGCTCTGTAGGGCCATCCGGCATCACCGCGCTCTCAAGCTGCGCTCACTGCTCAGTGGCTCCATGACTCTGCTGTGGCTTCGTGCATCTTTTCTGGGGGTGCATCCAGGGCTGTGGGGGGAAAATGGGGTGAAATGAAGGCATGGAGGGTGTGCAGGTGCGTGATGGTCCCCGAAGGGGCGCAGAAATGCACAGTGTGCTGATGGGTGCCCGAGTTCAGCAGCACCCACTCACCGCGACACTTGGCACAGCAGGGGTTGTCCCTCCTGCTGGGGCTGGCACAGGCACCTGGCGGGCACTCCTGGCGCTGGCAGTGCGTCTCTCCTGACTGTAGGGCACAAGCAGGGCTGGGACACGGGGGTACCTGCACCGCCAGCCCAGCTCTGTGCCTGCCTGTCCCTAAAGCACTTGGGGTGGCAAAGGGCATCTCCGCATTCCCAGCACACTCACCACACACCAGCACAGGATGCACTTCATCTCCCCAAAGGGTGGCACCGAGGGGTGCCAGCTCTCATTGTTGAGGTACCAGCGGCGCCCAAAGCGGCACGCACGGGGTCCGTCTGCCTGCATGCCATCGGTCAGCTCAGGGACACTCTTCTCAGGGGCTGTGGAGAGGGCACAGGGAGACTGCATGCCCACAGGGTGTGGGACGAACAGTGGACAAGGGGAAAGCAGGGTGTACATACCTGGGCACTGCTTGCAGCAGTCGGAGGGGCTGACGCGCACAGGGTTGGCACAGGTGAGGCGTGGGCACTGCACCTTCTCGCAGTGCACTTCACCCGTGGTGCCCTGTGGGGAGCGTGCACAGGACTCAGGGGGGCACTGGAGCTCCCCTGCTTTGAGACCCCCAAGACTCACCTTGCAGGTGCAGATGGCACATTTGATGAGGCCGAACGGCGGCACGACGGGGTGCCAGCGGGTGCCAGAGCCTCGCCACGTCTTGTCCCCATCAAAGTAGCAGCCTGAAAGTGGAGGAGGTGGGCACGGCGTCCATGTGATGGCTGTGGTGCCCTCAGCCTGTGCCCAAGGGACTCACCCTCACTGCTGTCCCGCGCCCGTTCCAGCTTCAGCTGCTCCTGCTCCATCTTCTTCTCTACAGGGATCAGGGAGGGCATGCTCAGGGCAGCAGAGTGGGACCCCCACCTTGTACCCATAGAGATACTGCCCACAGCCCCCTCTTTCTGCCCCACACCTCCCCCCCAGGAGCTCCTTGTGCCCCCACACCTTCACAGACGGGGCAGCACAGCTCCTCAGGGTGCACCTGGCGGGTACAGTTGAGGGGCTGGCACAGGATGGGATCGCAGATCACTGTGCGCTTCTGGGAATAGCAGGCACATTGCTCATTGAAGGATCCATCATCAGTGGAACCACCCCCAGATCAGCCCTATAACCCCATACCTGGCAGCTGCAGATGGAGCACTTCTTGTCGTAGTCAGGTGCCCAGCGGGTGCCATGTGCACGGTGCTGCCCCTCGAAGAAGCAGGAGTTGGGGTCCTTTTTCAGCTGTTCTACATCCCTGCTTTTGGGGCCCTCTGAGAGCCCAGCCTCCCCGGTGGACAGGCGGGCCCCTCCTGCCTGGCAGCGGTTGGGGATGTGCACCTGGAGGGCAGCAGTAGGTTGGGACCATGGGCACCCAGCTGGGCATCCCACTTACGTTTTCTCATGGCTGGTGGCACCGTGGCACCACGGCTGGTGGAGCACATAGCTGTGGGCATACGTGTCCCCATGCTATGCCCTTCCCAGTGCCAACCCCTGGGGATGTGTCAGGACCACATACCCATCCCCGCATCTCCCCACGTGGGTGTGCCTTGGTGCTGACTTGCAGGAACGCAGTGCCCTGTGCTAGGTGCTGCAGAAGCTCAGCGTCCAGGTCCTTCACCACCCCCTGAGCCTGTAGGGTGAGGGGGACAAGGGGATGTGGGGACAGTCCTGAGACCTGTGGTGACACTGTGGTGTAGCTGCTGTGAGCCCTCCTCACCTCAGTGCCATAGAACCCCTTGAGCATCCGCTTGTGCAGGTGTGGCCGTGAGCCCATCTCGCCCAGCTCGGCCACACCGTGCAGCTGGGCGCTGACTGTGCCATCAGCTGGGCGGCCCAGCCCCGCCACCACAATCTCGTAGTGCAGGTGGCAGTGCTCATCCAGCGACAGCCATGCATGGCCCCCGGCCCCGCTGCTCACTGTGGGGGATACCAGCTGCCCCGCCAACGGCACTGGCATCTCTGTACACAGAGAGGGGCGGTGGGAGGTGATGGGTGAAGGGCTGCACCGCTGTGCCCTGCCACCCCCCACCTTCCCCCATGTACCTGTGTAGCGTGCCAAGAGCCCGCTGTAGGGCAGGGAGATGACCTGGCCCCTCAGCTCACCCTCTACCCAATCCTTGGTTGCCACGTTGAGGAAGAGCTCGTTCTGCAGCAGCATGTGCGCATCGCGGGCACTGGGGCTGTGCCACACTCCCTGAGCCTGGCATGAAGGGGGGAGAACACACGTATGGGGTTGTGCCCACTTGTGCCTGTGCCAATCTTGCGCAACCATGTCACCAGCACTCACCAGCCCGTCCCTATAGCTGGGGGTCATGTCAAAGAGGACGTTCCTCTTGTTCTTCCGCCGCGGTTTGGTCTCCAGTGTGACCCCCACCACCTCGCTGGCTGTGCCCACCACCCGCACCTGCAGGCAGGGCATGGACAGGCAGCAATAGGGTGACCAGTGGGGTGCAGTGCTGTGCCCGGTGCCATGCCTGTCCCCGTTACCTGGTATTCCAGCGTGCCGTTCTCATGCAGCGCCAGCTTGGCTGAGCCCACCGCCCCCGTCTTGGTGGGCTGCAATGCGTCTGCGCCGCACAGCACGCTTTGGATGGCTGCACTCAGGCACAGAGAGCAGAGAAAAGGGTGAGGACAGGGTGGGGGCAATGTCACTCCCACACCCCGCTGTGCCCTGCTCACTGTCACAGCTGCGGCGGGCAGTAATGGTGCCCTCCAGCTGGCGCGGGTGCTGACCCTCAGTGTCAGCCACGATGCGGAGCTGCCCCTGTGCCAACCACTGCAGCTCATGGGTGGACAGGTCACTCAGCACCTCCGCAAAGTCGGGGTCCTGGGGGTAAAGGCACTGATGAGGGTGAAGCTGGAATACCCAGGGCAATGGGGATGGGGATGGCTGTACCTCCATAGTGATGTTGGCATGCACCTCACGAAGCGTCTGGCCTTGGTGCAGGATACGGACCCGCAGCGGTACCCAGGGGGACTCTGGGCATGGCAGAGGGGTTGGGGCTGCAAGGGGTGGCTGGGCATGGGGCTGTGCCCACTGCTCCCCAAACCCACCCCTCTACAGCTCCAAATTCTTGCACAACCCCACACCATAACCTCCCACCCACTCCCATGCAGTCCCAACCCACTGTACCTCCACGCACTCTGTGCCCCAAATGCACAACCCAAATTCCCCTGCACACACTCATCCTGACCCCACGCATCCCAAGCCAATTGCACACCACGCACCCCCTGAGCCTCCCCCGGTGATGCCATGCCCTGCAGCAGCCCATGCCCTGCAGCAGCCCATGCCTGTCCTCACCCCCAGCGCCCGGCTCCAGCAGCCCACGGGCCATGAGGATGAAGTGTAGGTTGTTCTCGGTGTCGCTCAGCGTCAGCATAGCCATGCCCCCGGCCCCAAGATGTGTGGGGTCTGACGAGGTCAGGATAGCACCAAATGTCTCTGTGCAGGGAGAGGGACATGAGAGGCACCCCAAAGGGAACCCCCCTCAGGGTGGGAAGTACACGGAGGGGGATCTTACCTGCAAAGAGCGCGCGGTGCTTGAGGATGTGCCCGTGCACCTCTCCAGAGGGCTGCGCACGGGTGATGAGGGACACGCGGAGCTGCTCAGCACGCAGCAGTTGTATGTTGGCTTTGGACACCGTCCTCCACATCCCACAGAGCTGTGGGTACAGCAGGGCTGGGCATGGGGTGCCGACATTGGTGCGCCGTGCCCCCCGCCCTGCCCTCCCCACTCCTCTCACCATGCCATCCTCAGGGGCTGCGCTCTTCTGTACTGGGTGCTCAAACAGCACGGTGCCATCAGGGTCGCTGAAACGCACCCGGCTCGGCCGGCCCAGCCTGCGGGTGTCGGGGGTTGAGCAGGGATCCCCTCCCCAAGTGCCTGGCACCGGTCCCACACAGTGCCCGGGGGATGGGGGACACGGAGCAGGGTGCCAGCTGGCATTGGAACCCAGGGGTCCCCAGGTTGGCACTGTGTGTGTGGGGAGGTGCACATTTGGGAAGGATGGCGGGGAGCTGAGCACTCGGCCTGGCTGTAAATTAGGAGCATTTTCAGCTCTGTTTGGCTCCCCCTGGTTGGAGCTGGAAATTAGTCACCACTTTACTATGCAAAGGGGCCTGGAAGTGAGGAAGAGCAGAAGCAACCCGTTTGGGAAGGAGAGAGGGAGAGAGAGACGGACAGTGGGCACCCGGGGAAGGCATGGATTTGGAGTCCCGTGGCGGTGCCCATGAGCTGGGCCATATGGTGGCACAGTGCCTGCATTCCACTGCACCCACAGCCCCCCTCCTAAAATCACACCCCACCCACACAATGCTGCGATAGCACTGAAGGCATGCAGAGGGGAAACTGAGGCACAAGAGGCATCACATCACCAGGTTTTAGGGTTTCAGGCTGTGCTCACCGCTCGTAGCTGATGGAGAAGAGCAGGTAGGAGCGCAGCAGGGTGAAGCGAGCCTTGGCCACCGCGCTGGATGTGGGGTGCCACGGCTCCGGGCCACTTGTCAGCAGGGCCACGAATTCTATGGGGGATGACAGTGATTACTATAGGAGCATGAGGATGCCCTGTGCTGTTCTCCCTCCCTGGGCTCACCTGTGCGGGCATCGTCGCGTGCCAAACCTTCGGAGCTGAGGTAGGAGCGGTCGTTGTACGGCTTGTCCATCTCATCCTCCTTGTCCTGGAAGTACTCAAAGGTGTCGAAAGGTGGCTCGGAGCTCTTCTCCAGGGGTCCTGGCAATGCTGGCAAGGGGGACACAGAGGGGAGATGGTTGTGGCACAGGTAAATCTGACACTAACTAGCCCCTCCAGGGGGGTGCCCAGTGTCCCCAGGCTGATTCCAGCAGTGGGTGATAGCACCACGCTCACCTTTGGGACAGGTGTGGCAGCAGTGCCCAGGCAACAGCGTGGCACGGGGGCAGGTGGGAACAGGGCAATCCTGCTTCATGTTCTTGCAGTTCACTTTCCCCACTGGTTTCCCTCGGCGATTCCTCTGCTGAGGTGGTGAGAACCGTGCCAAATCGTGCCAAACTCTGCCATAGATACGGCTAATCCCAGCACCCAGCCCCAGCAGATGGCACAGCAGTGGGTACCAGTGCTCCCCTGGCACAGCCCTGATCCCCTCAGCCCATCTGCACAACCCCTGGGCCCCGCACACCTTGCACAGCCCCCAGCTGTTTGTACGGCAGCCAAATCCCGGCCCCCACTCCCCTGCCCAGCTGTGCTTGGCCCCTCCAGTCTCGGCCTCCAGGGGCTGCTGGAGGGAGAGGGCTGTCCCCGAAGAAGGGAGGAAGGAGAATGAAGCATGAGCCTTTAACCCTGCTCTGCTGGAGGGCACCCAGGTGTGGGGCCGGCTGGAGGAATCCCCGCTGCCCTTTCCCTCGGGGTGGGGTACTGAATGAAGGGGCGATCCCCCCTCCCCAGCAGGGCCTCATGTGTGTGTGGGGGGGGTCCCCTCTCCTGGCAGGGGGAGGGAGGAGGGCACTCACCGTCTCGCAATGGCAGATCACGCAGCGCATCACCCCGAAGGGCTCCCCCAAGTCGGGGTGCCACGTCTCCTCCAGCGCATAGAAATGCCCCCCGAAGGCACAACCTGCAGATGAATTCCCACCCCATCATCGGAACACCCCCCCAAGAAAAAAGTCACCTCCGAGCCGCGGGCACCCCCCTGCCGCAGCCCCGATGGGGCGGACAGAGTCCGGCACCGCCCCGTCGGGTACGGACCCGGTTATTGGGACCGAACGGCGGCACGGGCAGGCGGGGGGGAGGGGAGGGGGGGCACGGAGTTGGGGGGGCATAAAAAGGGTGCACGGCGGGGATGCAGGAAAAGAGGGTGCACGGGTTGGAAGAAAAAGGGTTGCATGCAGCGGGGGTGCACGGAAAGGGGGATCGAAGGGAAAGGGGTGCAGGGAGGGGGTCCTACCTGCCGCCCCCCCGGGGGGCAGCGGCTCGCTGTCGGGCCGGATGGGCAGGGCGAGCTTGGGGCGGGCGGTGCGGGCGGGCAGGGCGAGCAGGGCGAGCAGCAGCAGGGCGGTGCGCATGGTGCCGGGGAACCGGGGGAACCGGGCGGCCGGGGGCGGGGAGGGGGGGCCGGGCGCTGCCTGCCGCCTCCGCTGCCACCGCCTCTGCCCGGCCGCCGGCCCCGGCCCCGCTTTATAGGCGGCGGCATGGGCAAGCGGGAGCTGCGAGCCCTGTGCAAACAAAGGACCGCTAATGAGGCGCAGGCAGCGGCCGGCCGGGGGGACGCGCCCCCGCCGCGATCCGAGCTTCCCCCCCCCCAAGAGGTCCCGGCCCACCGGGCGAAGGGACACCTTCAGCCACTGAGCCCCTGCCCTGAGAGAATAAGGTACCTCTGCCCATGGGTATGCCAGGGAGACCCCCGTCTGTGAAACACCATGGGGACCCCTTGGCATGGAGCATCTCTAGGACCCCCCCGAACCGTTGGTCCCCTCCCAGACGTGGAGTACCTTGGGTATGGAGCTCCCACTGGACCCTGGATCCTTTCACCCACATGCCCCTGGTCAAGCTTGGCATGCAGGGGACCCCCTCACATCCACACAACACTCACTGGGGCAATGCAGAACCCGAACCACACCCCCCTCCGTGGGGCTCGGGGTATTCCTGTGCGCTGGACACCGTCAGTACACCCCAATCCACATCCCTCCCCACGCTGCCCCAGGACATAAGGCCCCTGCAAGCCCTCATTTCCCCCACACCATAAGGTCACCCTTCGGACAAAAGAAACATCTCCCCTCAGCGTCCCCCCAAATCTGCGCTGCGCCATATGATGTCAGACTCACGCACCCCACAACATGTGCCTTTGGCATCCCCAAATCCCAGTGCAGAGGGCAATCCCAGAGCAGGACCACAGGACCGTTCCCACAAGCATGAGAACAAGACCTGGGGTCCCAGGGAGGTGCTGTGGCTGAGGGCATGGGAGCAGCACCCAGCACGGATTCTGGTCTTCACCCACATGTGCCCGGGCTGATGAGGGCAGCAGCGGTGGTGGGCAGGGAGCAGACACCATGGGAAGGCCTGGGGAGAGCACGGTCCAGCTGGGGAAACTGAGGCGCAAGGCACAAGTAGGGGAGAGTGGTGTGTGCCACCCGTGTCTCCCCCACCAGCAGGGAGGGAACGAGGTGCTAGATCCCCCCACCAGTGGGGAGGCAGGCGGGTGTGCAGGGGAGGAGGGGGAAGCGCTGGGCTGCCAAAATCAACTCTGGGCGGTGCAAACAGCCGGCCAGCTGCACGGTGTAACTAGGGAAACACGGCACAGCTGGAGCACAACAGGCCCTTACCTCCCCAGAAGGCTCCTCCTGGGCCTCCCCACGGCACAGCGAGTGGCTAGGGGGGCTGCAACCCCACACACCATATCCCTGCTGCCAGGTGCCCCATCCCTGTGCCCTCCCCCACCCTGCTTGGCATGAGCAAGCCCCGGCAAGGGGTAGCCGGGTTTCCCCATCGGGACATCCCATTGTCACCTCCAGGGCTGGGACACCACGGACATTCCATGCGCAACACCGTACTGCTCGCAATGGGCTGTGCCCGGCAGCGTGGCACCCCATTCCCATGCCCACCCCGTCAGTGCCACCGACCTGTCCCTGCTCCTCTCTCCCGTTGTCTCTGTTGGCCTGGGATCCGGTGACAGGGGAGGGCTGGGGGCTGCGTGGCCGTGCCAGCGTCACCGCCTGGTGCCCACCGCCGTGGTGCAGCCTGGGGGGAACGGCGGGGAGCGAGCAGGGCTGAGCGGGGAGGAGGAGGCGGGCGATGGCTGCCGGCCGCCCTGCCGGTGCCAGGAATCTGCCGCTGGCTCCGCGCACCCGGAGCTCGTCACAGTCTCCTGGCTCGGCTGTGGGGATGTGGGGAAGCAACAGGGGAAGCTCCCTCCCCTTTCCCGGGAAGGAAGGAAAGCTGGGAGAGCCATGGCCTTGGCATGGGAGAGACTGAGGCATGGGGAGGGCACGGGGGTAGCGAGGTGTCACTGCTACAACAGGAGCACATGGGTTGGGAGGAAACGGGCATGAGATGAGATAGGACGCACACGGGCATCCCTACAGCCCCACGCGGTCCTGAAAGTCCTGGAAGTGCCCCCCAGGGGTCTCTGTGCTTTTGGGGTGGGAAAGGGTCCCGGTGCCGCCAGCTGGTTCCCGGCGCCCGCACATGCACTGGGAGCTCCCGGCACAAAGGCGGCTCTGAGGCTCCCTGCAGCCGGGCCTGGCGCCGGCACAGCCCCAGCGGGACAGGGCTGCCGGCTGCGGGCAGCTGGAGCTGCATGGGGACAGAGCCAGGCAGCCACGGCTGCTCTGTACCACCCCATAAGCAGGAGCAGGTGCCCGGCCCCACGGCATGTAGGTGCCGGAGCACGTCAGGGTGGGCACACTGATGATGGTACTCCACTGTGGACTCTGCGTGGGCTGTGTGGGCTCTGTGGCCATGTGGCCACGAGGGGTCACTCGGAGGGGCCACCATCTCATCCCTCTCTGCCCAGTGGTGCCGTGCCTGGCTTAGGGGTGCCTGTGCCAGCACTGCCGCCCCATGCAGCTCCCTATTGTCTGTCCCTATTAGCTGCTGTCTGCTTCAGGCTTTGAACATGAGCCGGGCTCAGGGCGGCAGGAAGGAGCCTCTTCTCCCTAGGGATGGGGTCGAAGAGAAACCGCACGCCCTAACCCCTTCCCACAGCCTCCATCCTCCTCCGGGCACCTTGACACCCCATGCCATGAGTAACGGGGGCCAGACCCAACCGGAGTTGGGGAGCCACAGAGACACCCCCCTCTCCAAAAAGAGCCCCCCTCACCTCACTTACTATGGCCTCCCCAAAGCTCTGTGCAGAACGAAGCCATGCCCCGTGACTAATCCCCCCCCGGCCTCGCACATACACGGCGGGGAGGGGGGTGCTGTCGTAATGGGTGGAAATATCTCATAATTCACGTTGGACATGGGGATTGCAGCCGTTCCGGCAATATTTGCACAACTGGCGGGCGGCTCGCAGGGCTGGGCCGCCCCAGACGAAGGCAAGGGGGGTCTGGGGGCGGAGGGTATTTGGGGGTGGCAGGTATGGGGTGAGGGGGTGCAGCTGGGGGAGCGGCTGCTTTTCGTCTCCAGACACATGGAGTTTATTAGGGACTGCGTGTTCTCAGCGCGGTGGGGATGGATGGGGCTCTCTGTCCCTTCTTGCCTTGTGGTGGAGGGGGGGGGCCAGGATGTGGGCAGAGACCCCAAAATATCCTCATGCGCTATGCTCGGGGCTGTGCCCACTCCCAGTGGCCCATCACGGGGTACCCAAAGACCACAGAGATCCCCTTCATCCCTATGGGAAGAAGGCAGGGAACGCGTGGGGCACGGGGGGGCCCTGTTTGGCATGGGGATTAGCACGCTCCCAGAGCAATCGATGGTGGTCTCCCCCCCCCCCCCCCCACCGGACATGCAGGCAAATATTTGTGCCCAGACTTCGCGGGACGGCGAGAAGGAATTTCATTCTTGCGCCCACCTGCGGCTCGACCGCCTGGCATTAACCCCTTCACCACCCCAGGGGATGGAGGGAGGTGCCCCCCCTGGTGCCCCCCATGCGGGCAGCGGAGTGGGCAAGGAGTGCGACAGGGCGGCATTTGGTGCAGATGGTTGGCCGCAGCTCTGGGCAGGCCTGTGACAATGCTGATGGTCGTTGTGGGCACAGCACAGTTTATCCTGGCAGTCCCCTAATAGACAAACCCTGTGCAGGGCCTGTGGAATATGGAAAATGGGCAAACCATGCCAGCCCCCCACCCGGCTGCCCTCTGCAGCACAACCACCTTCCTGGGCTGCTCCTGGGAGTGGGATGGTGGGGCATGGAGAGCTCTGTTTGCCCACGGATGTTTATTGACAATTTGCAAATGTAAAACAGGACCGGAGGGGGTTGAGATCTTTGCCTGCGGTGGGGTGAGGGGAGCACAGGGCCTGCTCACAGCATCCTGCTGGCACCCCCAGCTCCGTCCCTTGTTCCCCAGCCTCTTTGTGCCCAGCTGGGCCCTGAGCAAACGGGGCTGTTTGCTCACTCCGGGATTAGCTGCTCTCTTTGTTCCTTTGACTTTCTCTTCCCTTTATGCCGGACCCTTTTATGGGGGCTTCAAAGGGGGCTCTGAACCACCACCTCCACCCCCCCACTGCCTGCAGAGCTCACGTTGGTTTCCCGTGTCTCACTGCTTTGCAGCAACATCCTGGCGGTGCCTACTGGGGACACCTGGGTGGCCCTTGGGGACAGCAGCTGTGTCACCTGCCCAGTCCTCCCCCACTGCCTGGCACCTCCGGCTGCCCTTGGCACTTGTTGGAGTGGGTGTGAACGGCTGCTCTCCACAGCAGGATTCCCGGCACTTTGCACCCTGTAAGCAGAGGTGGGAAACACAGCACCGGGATCCGGCCAGCTGCACAGCTCCGTGTCCCCCCAGGACAGCACATCCCGGCAGTGCCATTCCCAGCAGGAAAACAGCGAGCTGCCTGCTGGCATTGCTGGAAGGAACATTTTGGGGTGAAGGGCACCCTGCGGTGCTCTGGTGTCTTCTGGCATCCAGCAGGCATCCTGCCACGTACCAGCTGCCCCATTTCCCTGATGAGTTTTTCGTCTAATTATGAAGGCTATGGGGCACTGCAGAACTCCAACCCAGCACCATGAGGGGCAACGTGCCCAGAGAGGGACGGGGACCAGGGCATACTGCTGGGGACCGTGAGAAGGGATCAGAGTTGGGAGTGAGGACAGAGCTGTCCCAGGGTGCCAGCAGGGTGCGTTTGCAGCCCGTCACGTCCGCAGAGCCGGGACACGGCCATACGGGGAAGCCCAGCGGTGTTTGACCCCAGTGCTCACAGCTGCCGCCAAACCGTGCTGCACTGCGTCACCAGCGCTGTCCCCATAGCCAGAATGGGGCTGCAGGAACCCACCAGGACCCCCCGCCGCTTGCAAGGTGGGTTGATGGCTGTGGGGCCAGGGGGACGTGGGATGGGCACGGGGGGGCCGAGGTGTTTACCCCGGTTCCTGTCACCTGGCCAGGGAACCGCTGGCCACGAGGACGGGATGGGAGTGTGTGAGAGCAGTGCTGTGTGTAGTGTGCAGGAGGATGAGGTCTGGGGGCTCCTGAGTCGGTGTGGGTGTGAATGCAGGGGGCTGCGCGATGGTGGGATGCATAGGGGCCATGTGAGCATGCAACCCACAGTGCGCATGCGTGGGGCTGTGGTGCAAGTGGGGGTGTGGGTGTGCACGTGAGCACAGATATGCACGTGGACATGTGCATGTGTGCACTCCTGCCCCTGGGGGTCTCTGCAAGCTCTCTCCACCAAAAAAACCCCACTTCCTGGCTCCCATGCCCCATGACTGTCTCTCAGCTCAGAGCACCACTGACGCCATCTATCTTGCCGTTCCAGGACCACCTTTGTGCCACAGCTAGGCACGGCCACCGTTCCCAGCACCAATATCCCACTCGCAGATCACTCACGCCCAGGGCGAGGGGCAGGTGAGTGCCCGAGGACGCCCTTCCCGATCCCGGAGCCAAGGGAGGAAGCGGCTGGAGGCAGGAAGCCGTCCCCAGGGCCCCCGGAGCACTTTTGCTCGAAGGTCAGCAGCAACACAACAGGAAATCACGCTGCCTCGGCACGGCGGCCGGGCCAGAGTGCTGCGCCGTGCTGTGCTGCCCGAGGGGTGTTCCCAGCCCCCAGTCCTCCATCCCGGCCCGGCGGCTTGCGGGGGGGGGGCCCGCACCACAGCTGCCCTCCATGGAAGGGGGACGGGAGCCGGGGAGCAGCCGCTGGCCCCAGGGCAGAGGATGCAGGGCTGAAGCCCCCAGCAGAGCATGGAGCTGAACAGTGAGTGTGGGGTAAAGGGGATGGGCACGAGTGGGAAGGGGCACTGCTGTGGCAGTGGAAAACCAAATCACGGCCCCAACCTCCCTGGCACAGGCACAGCCATCACCCCACACGTTAGAAGCGAATGCCAAGGGTGCCTCTGGTTTGGTAGGAGCTGCCCACTGCCAGTTTGGCATCTCACTGTGTCCAGCCTTGGGCAGCAGGTTCTGCCCAATCTTTTTGGGGACAGGTGCAATGCCAAGGTGGTAACAAGAACGGACACAGGTGGATGGACGAAGGGCTCTCGGAGATGGCAGTCACCAGCATGGAGCTCAGAAGTCAGCCAGCTGAGGGGTGCCTGGGGCAGCAGCATGCCCATGGTGCCGGCTGAGACCACGCACAGGCGAGCCCTTGGCTGCTGCAGTGGCGAGGAGTCGACGTGCACTGCAGGAGGCTGCAGGCAGGGATTCCCCGAAACGCACGTGACAGCCAGAGCTGCTCCTGGCACAAACTCCCCAAAGGAAGGCCTGCACAGGGAACACAGCTCAGCTGCCTGCCTGCTTCCCAGGCTGGAGCTGAGCCTAAAATCCAGCACTGATGCTTGTCACTTCCCCCCAGCCCTTCTGCACTGCTGGGAAATCCCAGCTCTGCCCAGAATCATGTCCCCAGGAACAGGAGGGAGACAAGATCCTTCTCAGCCTCCAAAACCTCCTCATGTCCTACTACAAAGCAATTCCAGACACCACCAGACCAGGCAGAGCAGTTGCTGCTGTAGGCGTTACCTGAGCTGGGGCTCTTTGAGGAGGGTGGCCAGGTGCCCATGGGTATCCCCTTCTTTCCCAGGACTACTGCTCCTCACATCTTTTCTCCTGCACATCAAAGAAGGCCATGCCAGGCCAATGGGGCCGGTCTGCGACAAGAGACTGATCCAGAAGTACATCGGGGAGGCCAAGGATATGGAGAAGAGAATGGTGAGGAAGCAACGCCTCCCAAAACCCAGTATCAGGCTGGGCTGGCAGGACAGAGCTGGAAAAAACTCCCGGCGTCTCACTACAGCAACTCTTCTCCCCCAACAGAGCGAGTGCCAGGCACTACCCACACTCAGCTGCCCTGTGGTTCTGCCTTTGGTGGACTTCAACATGCGACAGTGGAAAAGCAAATCGGTGAGAGGGGCTGGGAGGATGGTGCTGGGGTGCCTGTGGGAGTTGAGAAGGAGCCCCTGGGTAAGCAGAGGGATGCGGTCACCAAACAAGCTGAACAAGAGGCTTGTAGAAACAGTTGGTGGCACAGGAGCATTGTGTGGAGATGAGGTGGAGGATCCCTCCACATCAAGGGTGGGCATGGGAACGATGGGCCTGCAGCCCTGTGCCAGTGGGGTCAGTACACACACTGCTCCACAGGATGAGATCAAGTGGCGTGAGATCCTGTGCAACCTGGTGCTGCTGGTGGGTGCTGTGACAGAAGCTCAGGGCCAGGTGAGCCAGGAATGTGGAGCCAATCAGCTGAGACAGCTCTATCGACATGCCAACTCCTTCCTCCTGCTCCTGCAGACCTTTGGCTGGGAGGTGAGGCCTCACCGCGTGAGCAAGGACACCTTCAGGGCAGGTGTCAGCTGGGCATGATGGCATTTGTGACCCCCTCATCTCACTCTCGCCCCTCAGGAAGGGCCCTGCTGCTCCCCAAGCTCCATTGAGCAGACTCAAGTCACTGAGATCTTCCTCACCTACCGACAGTTGGTGCAGGGCAAGCTGCGCTTCTTCTTCCACAACCTGGCTAAGGACTCATGTGACTGAGACTGGGGCAAGCAGGGACCTCCAGCCCAGGGCCTGATGAAGCTGTACACAGGATTCAACACTGATAAGAGGTCAGAGCAATCCCATAGGACAATGAGCCGTGCTCTGGGCACCCAGGAAGGTGCCACAGGGAAAGGGTTGGCTCCCTTTCCACAAGCCTTTGGCTATCACATGGCTCACAGCCACACCTGTGCAGCACGAGGCACACGCCTTGCTCCTATCAGACTGTGAATGCTTTACAATTAAAGACCTATTTTTCTAAAGGATTGTTTGTGTTTTCCTGTTACCACTGCTGTGGCACTGGACTGGGAAGCATACACCAGCCTCTGGGAGAGGCAGCAGCTAGGGGATATGCTCCTGTTCTCCCCACAGCATCCAGCTCCCTCCTGCGGTGGCTGCCATCTCTGCAGGGCAGCTGGGCTCTGCTAAGGGATGTGAGATGATAACATCCCCTGCTTTCTGGTATCCACCTGCCAATCTCACTGTGCTGAGTTCTGGGGTCACACAGCACCATTCAGGCTAGGACAAGCCCCTACAGGAGCCACAGCCTGCAAGCCACTGTCCCTGATGTGGTAGCTTTGCTGTCTGCTACCACGACACCCTCCACGAGCATTCCATCTTCATCTACCAGCCTGCCTCCTGGGAAGCCAGCCTCGCCTCTCAGCCACAACAATCACATCTAGAAAACACATAGCAGTTTAATTAAGGAGCCACACCTGTCTTAGAACAGCACGTTAGAAAATGATGCCCAGCCTTAGCACAGACAGGTGTATGTCCCAGTCCAGCTGCCCCTGGCCAGAGCTGGGGCTAAGCCTGCTTTTGAAGTGCAGGAAGGTGAGAAAAAAAAATCAGCAGACAGGACCACAGAGCACCCATGGTCTCCACTGAAAATGAGGGACCAGCCCCTACATGGAAGGGAAACAGTCAGAAAAGACTGGGATGAAAAGGGGGAATGCCCCCTCCTACACCACCACTGGAGGAGCTGGGCAGCAAAGGTGCTGGGGTGGGATTTGGGGTGATGGTGTCCTGTTTGCTCGCCAGCAGAATGTCTCTGGGGCAGGCAGCCCACTGAGGCGCATCATCTCCTAGAAGGCCAACTTCTTCATCAGCAGGTAAACTCTGGAGTCCACTTCAAACCCATGCAGATTGTTTGCATCTCCCTGAAGGCGCATGAGCAGCCCCCCGTAGGACACGTAAGCAGAGCTGGGGCAGGAGGAGAGGAGCGGTGAGAGCAGGGAAACTCATAGGAGACCCAATCAAGACACTGCTGCCACCCCACCACCCTCAGGCAATGCATCCCCGTCTGCCAACAGACACTCACAGGCGTGTGGCTGCTTCTGTGGACGTCTCATCCCCCTCAATCCTGTACACCTTGCCATACATCACATACTCGAACTGGTCTGCCCTGAAATGAGATGAGGGGAGCTCAGAGAAGTGCCAGAACTGTCACCCCCCTCCTTCCCACAACCCCTAGCAGAGCATCCTCTGGAAGAAGGCACCTCGCAGCCTTTCAGCACCCCAACTCCTCCACCACTGAGAGCCACAGCACCTGGAGGGTCTGTCATCTGTAGGGTTGTACTCCCCATCGTCCAACGTGCCATCCTCATACAGGGTGCTGGCAATGACCAAACGGAATTTGTCACCTGGGAGGAGACAGCAAAGGAGCGGTGTGAAGGCACAGCCAGAGCAATGGCAGTCACAGTGGCAGCTGCAGCACAACTGCAGCAAGGAATTGCCCTGGTGAGTTTATTATGAACCTGGTTCCTGTGTATTCTCCAATAGGATAGCAGAAATTGAGGGAGACACGTACTCTTATCTCTCTCTACAGAAATTTATCAGCACTGCAGAGCCACCAGGTCAGCACAACTAATGTCTTCATGGCACACAGCAAGGGAACTGCATGGAGAGCCTTGGAAAGTTGCGCTTGCCTTGGGCAGGTATGGAAGATCAGCCCCTTCCTCATCTTATTTATGGTAAGTCTTCCATTCAGTTAACGTATTTAGGCATGGAAACCCATTTCAAAAGCTCTCCATCAGGCCCGGTTGCCATTAGCTAACACAGATTCGCTAATGGGCATCTCTAGGGGATGGGTCAGACCTGCTTCTAAACAAACCCCACAGCGCAATGAGCCCGAATGGAGCTCAGCCCCAGCAGCGCCAGCACCACGCACCCCTGGGACAAAGGACAGCACAGTACCACGCACACTCCTCCAGCAGCAGGCCAGGCCCCCCTCCTCCCCGGCCCCCCTCCTCCCCATCCTGGCGGCGTACCGAGGTCCACGGGGTAGATCTGGATGTTGACGTCCAGGATGAGGTCCATCTTGAAGGACTCGCTCTCGCAATGCAGGCGAGACACTGCGCAGAGCGGGGCGGTCGGCACAAGGGAAGGCCCGCCGCACCCGTCCCCTCCCACGCCGGCACCGGGGCCGCCCGGAGGCCCGAGTGAGAGTTAAGGGCTCAGGGAAGAAGGGTTGGGAACGGGGGGGTTCCAGCTCACCGCGGTCGAACTTCTTGCCCTCGGGGTCGATATCTTTCACATCGAAGATGTCCTCGAAGAGTATCCCAGCCATGGCGGAGCCGCCTCGCGCCCGCTGCCGCAACGGCGCACGGTGATGACGTGTTTCCACATCCGACACACGCCAGCCTGCGGGCAGCGGGGCGGAAGAGGCTTCGTGGTGGGCGGGGCTAGATCTACGCCTGCGCGGTGCGGCCGGCAGAGGAGCCCGCGCGGTCTTAGCGCCGTCAGCAGCGCCCCCTGCAGGCTGGGGAGGCGCACTGCGGTGTGTGTGGGGGGCGGCAGGGGGCGCTGCGCGGCCGCGGATCGCACCGCGTGGGCCGGGCACGGCGGCGGGGAGCGCGGAGCAGGCGGGCACCTCCCAGCGGGACCCGGCTCTGAGCGGGGTGTGGGGGCTGCCCCCGGGGACGAGCCGTTCAAGGCCCCCCAGGAGCAGCCGGGGACGGTGCGGCTCTCGCTGCCGGGACGGTGGGGGCAGCAGCGCACCGAGCACCGGGAGGCACACGGCGTCACGCCTCTGCCCTCACGCGTCACCCCCCATCCTACCAGTGTCACACCCTCACGGTGTCACCTTCTCTCCGTGTCACCCCCCCAGTGCCACCCAGCCCCCTCTGTCAGCCCCTCTCCATGGGTGACACGAACGGCTCGCTGCGGCCGCGCTGTGCCGCTTGGGTGGGCGGAGGGATGCGCGGGTACAGAGGGACACGGAAGGACGGAATGACACAAAGGACAGAGGGACGCGGCTTGCCGGCCCCGCACCGCTGGGGATGAGGAATCGAGGCTGCGGGTGGCCGCCGCTCGGTGCCCCCGCCCGGAGGCACCTGCCAGGTGCCCGCCGTCGCCTCCTTATCTGGAGCCAAACAAATCTTTCCGGCACCTGGTGCCGCTCTGTGCCCGCAGCACCAGCTCTCACCCCCCTCCCCTGGGTCCCAAGGCTGTGGAGACCCCACAGACCGACTCCAAGTGCTCTGCAGTCCCCGGTGCACTGGGATGGTGGGGGCAGATATACTGGGGGGGGGGAGGTGGAGCACAGCTCTGTCCCTGCCTTAGTGCACCCCAAAACACCCCAGCACACAGTGGGACTCACTGGGGGTCCCTCCAGGTGGCTTCTCCCCAGGTTGAAAGTCCCAGTGCTCACAGTGCTGGGCTCTGTGTGTGTGGGGTGGAGAGGGGAGGGGGGGTAAGCCATGGGGCTGTTATCTTCCACTGATAAATTGTACAACATGAGCGTGGCTTTGAACAGCGGCCAGGCCTCCATCCGGCAGGATGGCGCTGGGGGGCCAACACAGTCTCCAGTGATCTCCAATGGGGGGGGGGGGGGTGGTGATGGAGATGGGGGACGTGGCTTTGGAATGAGGGGCTGGTGGGGATGGGAAGCACGTCCTCTGCACCTCCTGGGGTGCTCAATGGTCCTCAGAAGCAAAGCAGAGAGGCACAGCGGGTGGCAGGACCACGGTGGCATCTGGGTGGTTGGGCAGCCCCAAATCCCTGCCTGCACACCAAATCCCTGCTCTCTCCCCAAAGTCTGCCCGGCTCAGGGTGGGAGCGGTGCTTCAGAGGTGGCTGCGGCCCCTCTTATCTGTGAGCACAAAGGAGCCGCAGCACCGCCCTTATGGAGCAAACAGACGCGGGGAGAGGCTGGCAGGGCCCGTTGGCATTGGGCATTGGGGTGGCACCGTCCCCATGTTGCGGTGCTATGGGGTGCAGTGGTGACATCCCCCCACTGAGCGGCCCCCCTAAGGCTGGGGCTGGGCAGGAAGAGACGGAGCCGAAATTAAGCTGTTAATGAGTCTGTCTGTCACCGGGCTGCCAATTACCCATGTGGGTAAGGAGGAGATGATGGAGGTGGCATGGGGCAACCTGGCAGCCCACCCGATCATCCCCTCATTAGCACCGCATAACCCGGAATGAGGGACAAGGCCCTGGGCAGGGATTAGCCCCTTCCCTTCCCTGCTGAGGCCGTGATGGGCGATGAAGGAAGGAAAAAATGAGCTTTGGGGGAAAAATATGTGCTAAGTGTCGGTCCTCTGCCCCTGGTGTGCAGGGTCTGGGGAAAGGCCCCGTGCCCCACAGCCCTGTCCCTGTCCCCGAATTCCTGCTGGCTGATGCTGACGTCTGTTTTTCCGTGACACCTCAGCCGGTGCTGCAGGGGGGACAGGGCCATCTCCCCACAGCTGTCATCGCGCTGGGCTGTCCCCGTGATGGCCCTTATCAGCGGGTGGCCCTGGGCTGCAGGCTGCGGCCCCCGATCCCATGGTGGTGGGGGGCTGCGTGCCCTTTCCTGCCACCCTCTGTGCCCCACATGGGGTATTGGGGATCTCTGGGGTGCTGGGTCCCATGGTTCTTCCCCCAGAACTCACCAGTGCATTCCCCCCCCATCCCCGACCCACCAACCAAACCCGGCCAAGCTGGGTTAGGATGAGAGCTGGGGGATTTCGGAGGGCTCCAAATTAGCTTAATGGCTTTGGAAGACAAACAGATTAGAGAGCTGCAGCGGTCAGGGCAGGGATCAGCTAAATTGGAAGCAGAGGCAGCGCCCCAGTCCCTCCGGTCAGCCCCAGGCCACAATCCTGCAACACCCACCGGCTTGTCCCCATCACCCCCATCTCTCCCTGCAGTGCTGGGTCACAGCAGTCCCTTCCCTCTGCCCTGGGTTTTGGCCACGTGTCAGCAGCCTCCGGGCGTTGCTTTGCTTCCCCTTCCCTTTCCCTTCCCGTCCATTCCTCGTTCCCCCTGCCCCTTTTCCCTG